AAAACATTTTATTTAATTATTGTCTGTTTATTATTTTGTTTTCAAGGAATACGTTGAATCCCCAGGTTACTCTAGTGGATATTATTTTAGTGAACAATGTAAACCTAATGATTCTGAGTGGCGCATATTCAGAAGATTCAAGAACCACCATATTTATCCACCTACAGTAAGAGAGGCTCTGCGAGACATCAAAGAAGGAGAAGCTGAACAACAGGAAGGTACAAACGTTTAGCATGATGTATTTGCGTGCTGAACGTAGTAAAATTTTTCAGTTCATTGTATCTTGAAAAAAGTGTTGGTGCAAGTCCCCTCCATCAGGACTTAGGGCCACAGAAATGGCTCTGGTTTCAGAGTTAATTTTATTTGTTTTTGTTTTTGAATATGGTCGGTCGAAGGCGCCCTTCTTTGGGAGGGCATGTTTATTTCCTATCTTTATAAAATACATGTACACCCAAAAGATACCATAAATAGATCATTTTGGGAAGTGCATGAGAAACCATCAGCTTGTTATTCCTGCCCCGTCGTAAACAAAACACGGTCGTTCTTGCTTCTTACAAGTTCGCGTTTAAAGTTACCGGACTAATTGTCAATTTCCACAGTTTAAAACTAAAAACGTGTATCTTTTGTCGCATTTCAATCGAAGCAGTAAAGATTACAAGTACATGCTTTATATGATTTTGTCTTTGATAATATGGTTTGTTTCTCCAGGATTTGACTTTACAAATGATCAAGCTGTCACCGCTTGGTATCAGCGGAGAACAAGCAAGCACTTGTTAATGAGACAGCCAGCCAAACCAATGGATCTGGTGAAAGTTGTGCAGTATGACCAAAAACAAGTAAGTGTATTGTTTGTCTCTTATGTACGGTTAATATGTATATGTAGGCAAGCCTTAAGGTGGAGTTCCTGTTCATGTAGAAATGGCATTAGAAAATAATCAAACGTAACAATACTCTCGATGAAGTAAAATTCTTTCTTGGCTCCCAGGCTTAAGGAATAAAACAAAAGTAATGTATTACTTGTCCTTGAAACTCCAGGTGATTTCTTTTGTTTTGATCCCCCAAGCCTTGTATCCGAGTGTGAATCTAAATATATCGAAATCTTGTCTTATGGTATGAGTTAACAAGCAAAGACGCAAGATCGTGGCGGATGTTAGTGCAGTGAATTTGCCACCTTGGGTGCCCTGTGCTGCCGTTTGGTGTTATTATGTCTGGGGCTGCCCTCCGTTATGGTTGGCTTACTGTGTTTTCTTAGTTATGTGTGTTTATGTGCACGGACTTTTCGCTATTTAGAAGGTAAAGGACACATGATAATTTCGTAGTTTGAGGGGAATAGCTGCTTTATTTTTGTTTCTAGGGTTTAGGGAAGATTTTGTTAGTAGGTCTTGAATAAGTTAAATGAATTGGTAATCCTCACCCAAAAAGCTCACTGTTAAAAAGACTTCATTTACCCAAAAATATTCCGATTCCTTCCAGAATAAGGTACAATGATTGTCTGTAATGGTCGAGTAAACAAACAATATGCTTTGAACGGACCGCGCAGTTTCCATATGGGACATATGATGGGACTATTAAGGCAAATATTGCTTTTTCTTTCTTTCCAACGTCTTCACTAAAGGGTCTGGCGTTAACGGTAGAGCAAGCATTTGGCCTTCCTGGAAACACATCGTTTGTAAATGTACTGGTTTTCGTGTCTCCTGGACAAGATGTGCAAAGAACAGAAGTAACAGAAGAGGGACACGGTGGAGAAGAGAAGGCACTCATAAAAACACGTGACTTCAACAGTTACCAGAAATCCCCCAAGTGGATAGACTCACCTACTGTAAGTAATAAAAAAAACCTGCTGTATTTTCCTGTCTGTAGTTATCAGACGGAAGATTTAGCGAACTACAAGCTGTTCACTCCTCGAGTTAATAGAGACCTTTTGATTCTAAGACGAGAACGACTACGAGTACAATATTTTCTCAATACTAAGTAGTGCGCGCGCGTGAACCAAGGTCATTTTGGCGGGAAAACTTGATAGCTGTCGTCATTCTACTACGGGTTTTAGCGAGAATGTCGTAGTGCCGGAAACAAGTTATCAAATGTTGGAAGTTTTATCATTTTTACGATCCGGAGAGGGCTTAACTTCCTTCAATAAAGATAACAGTGCCAATTTTTCTTGTTATTCAAAAGCACAGTGAAGCCTCCCGGAGTGTCTATTTTTCGAGAATACGCAAAAAAACTGTCAGTCAAATCTCGTACTCATGGTCGTTCTTGTCCTCGAATCTAGAGGTCTCAAGTAACTCATTTTACACTACTGCCCACTTTTGCTACGTGTTGCTTGTACTACATGTATCAATCAGCTAATGAATTCTCTCATGATAAACAGTTTGTTTTGTTTGCAGTTCAAACCTGTCTTCCAACAAATCGAGTTGTTGCAGGTTGCGAATAGATGGTGCAGAAAGTAGCGAGTAGTTCTACTTTTTTGCAACAAAATCTGTACATGTCGCGCGTTTTACCAGCTCAAGACGAACTTGTTTTGCAGCAAGTGACACAACTTCCGTCTATGGCGTGACTCCCGCGTAATCTTGTCCAATCAGAAGTCAGTATTCACGCTACTTGCAACAAGCTGATTTGTTGCAAGACAGGTTTGAACGTGGTTGGTAAAACTCGCAACATAGCTTTTCAACTCGTTCTGCTGCAATGTTCCGAAACAAGTTGCACGTTTTTGTTGCCCGTTTTACCTTAGCTTTACTTACCTGAGATTCGAGGGAAAGATTTTAGAGGGGTCAGTCATTAAGTGAGTTTATATAGCCCACGAAGAACAACTTCTCCGTGTACAAATTTGTGAAAGTGAATCTCGGCGAGGGGTCAACATTCGCGGGTAACAGTGCACTGTTATCCTCTGACGTCATAGATTTTGCAATGTTGTTGACTTTTGGCCGGAAACAGTTTAATTGTTAGATGTCATGTGACCTCAAAGTATCCAATGAGAGCGCGCGCAATCGGGTCAGTCCAGCTACATTTTTGTAACAAAGCGGAAAATTGCATCATTGATATTACAGACCATTTTACGCCACGTACACACCGTCCTTTATGTTGACATAGTAAACTCAGTAATTTGATTGTTTATTTTCTCGATGGTAGGTGTTTCACCCTCACATATCAGACCTGACCACCCTTGTAATCAGGCTGTGCTCACTTGACGCTCAATACACACCACGTGCTGACAGAGCCGCACCAGGCTCAGTCACGGCTAGTAGAGGCAAAGTTATGTCTGTAGTACCCTTTGGATGGACTGTGCTTCAACTCTTTTCAAAGTAAGACACAAAGTAGATGTGACTAATTCTTCAAGTGTCTTAACTGCCTTTTAAGTCAAATTGGGCAGGTGTAGACGCGTTTTATTAAAAGCTTTCTTGGTAATAGTCAACTCGATTACTTTCCCTGCGAGATTCATTTCAAACAAACGTAATTTATGAACTCATGACGTATACTATTGAGATAAGCTCTTTTAAATCGGATTGATGGATATTTTTAGTTTGGTTTGGTTGGCTTCAGCCCAGAAAAGAGCGGTTGATTTACAATGGTCGTGTACGTAATTCTAAGTGGTGTCGTAAATCATTGCTGTCCACAAATCAACCATCACGTATGTAGCTGCTTGACGTGAGCGCTTTATTTTTTTTTTGTGCTTGGAATTTGTATGCAACACCTAAGTTTCACCCTTCGTTCCAAAAATTTAACTAGTGAAACTTCTATTAGCAGTTATAGCGTTGTAATAAGATAATGGTCAGTTTTCGAGAGAAAAACCTATCGGGATTTCAAAATCATTTTCTTTGTTCTGCGCTTTTGATAATGATTATTGCATCTGGTCTGACAGTCTCACTTTTCAATTTACTGATTAGATTTCCTACCGACTTTCCTCAAGCCCGTCGTTGTGTATGAACCTGAAAATTAGTCTATTGTATTTCTTTTCTCATTCGTTAAACAAGGGAGTACGTGAATGCAGGAGTACATTACCTACCAATCTTTGAAGGATCTCCAAGTCCTGTAAGTTACTTAAAGTTTACCAATTAATTTGTGAACGAAATCTTGACTGGACCGGTGTGTCTGATTTGCCTTGGGCGCTTTGTACCCTGCGTATCAGGCGTTCCTTGGGGATGAGAAGAGAGAAGCGAAAAAGCAAAGGGAGAGAAACCTTCTCCTCTCTTCCCCCCCCCCCCCCCCCCCCCCCCCCCCCCCCCCCCCCCCCCCCCCCCCCCACAAACCAGTCCTTCTCTCTCGGCGCTCCTGGTCGGTGGTTGTTTTTTGTTATTCTTCGTTTACTGGTTGGGGGGTTTGTCTGTGTCTGTTTATACCCCCCCCCCCCCCCCCCCCGACTCTAAGACCTCCTCTCCCCTAACCGCTAAGGAAGGCCTGTTTCTCAGGCTAGACGCTTTGTGCTGGATTTCGCTTATAGTAGCTTATAGTCCTCGGAATGGTTCGTTGGATTGTCAGTCATTACAGAATTTTCGTTTGTGGTGCTGCCCTAACACCGTGCTATGTGTCCATTATCGCAAGCTGTATTCTACCGTGGCTCATAGGGACAAAACACTTCCCAGAATCCAAAACACGTCCCAGAATCTAAGTGTTTTGGATTCTTGGGTGTGTTTTTGGTTTTTGGGGCGTGTTTTGAATTCTTGGAAGTGTTTTTGGATTCTGGAACGTGTTTTGAATTCTGGGAAGTGTTTTGTCCCTACGAGCCACCGTAGTATTCCCGAAAGGCCCTGCAGTCTTAAATTTTGTAATACCTTTCAACCCAACTCTGACTTACTACTGACTTGCAGCTCTTTTACGTTTCAGACTTTCTTGGAGTTTTTATCCAGTCACACAGTGGATGTAAGTTTGAAAGAAGCAGTCAATCAACGCATACACACTCTGCTGGTAAGTTTGTGAATCAAATAAGAAACAACTCCTTAAATGGAGATTTGGAGTTGATCATTGGAATTAAGGTTCCTTTAGACAGACCCTGTTTAAGACAAAATCCGTTCATTTTGATACCCTGTTTAAGACAAGAGACTTTTTTCATACCCTGTCAAAGACTGTTTTTTAGATTACTGACAGAATAGAATTAGATTGTGTAAAACAAAGTCCTTATCACAAACATAGACCGCACACCGCCAAAATTCACACCCCCTGTTCAAGGCTTCCGGTCCAAAAAGACACCCTGTTTAAGACTCAAGAGCCTGAAAACCATACCCTGTTCAGCGGCACATACCCATATAGGCCAAATAATGGAGTGCCCCCACCCCGGGCTTTACCCATAACAAGGGAAAAAATTTGTTTCCCCCTGCCCCCTGCCACCTGCCCCAGTGCTGCATGCACACTCTGCTGGTAAGATTGTCTATTGAATAAGAAACAACTGCTTTCATCAGGAATCTTCGCTCTGAGCAGCAAAGTGAGTTGTGCTCGGGAGAACAAGGCTTTAGGAACAAGGGTTATTACCTTTCCCTTGACGATACGAAATTGGCCACTTTAGAAAGGAGAGGTGAACTAGAGCCGAAATACATCCACAATCTTCTAGAAAGGCCTTGAAACTTACCCAACAAATAACGAATGAAGATTTATGAAGGAAAACTTTATTCGATTTCAGGGCACTAGCTGTGTGGCTGTATGTCTCTGGGATGCACATTATTCCCAAGAGGATTGTATTCCATTACCTGTGAGTAAAAGATGTCGCTGTATTTTATCAAAAGGTCAACCAATGTTTTTAAGGCACAACCTTTAGACGAACCCTAGTAATATTCTGTTTAGTTTGGGCTAAATGACCTTTTCCTCGTTTCGCTAAAGTGAGCACATAGAGAGAAGGTCTATAACAAACACGTTTATTAAAGGTATAAGTTCGATTTTCACTTGCAACTTTCATCCAAAATCTACGAGGAAAGGATACGGATTTACCGTATTTATTCGAATAAGCGCCCAACCTCGAATTAGCTCCCACCTCGAATAAGCGCCCATCCTAAAGGCAGAGAAAGTTAATAAGCGCCCACCCCACCCCACTCCCTCCCACAAAAACTCCAACAAGAGATAATAGGAGACCCTCCCGAAGAGGGAGGTTTCTTCAGAGTATTGTACAGAAACCTTGCTTTGTTTAAATCTTCGCTTTTTGTTATTAGCATTTACTGTTTTGTTGCAAAATATACTACTACACTTGCTGAGAATGGTGAAAATTTAATAAGCGCCCAGCCTCGAATAAGCACCCACCTCGAATAAACGCCCACTCTCAAGGTCCAAAAATTTAATAAGCGCCCAGGGCGGTTAATCGAATAAATACGGTATACTTGAAATACTCTATCTTCCGCCTTGCACAGGTCAATGAACAACTTTTATCTGTTGGAAAGTTAGAAAGATATAAGAAGACAATCCAGGCGGCCTCGGCGGGAAAATTAATTTCCGATGTACTGCTTCAGACCCTGAACAAAGCAGAGCGAAAACAGGGAGTGACAGGTGACGCTTACTTGATGGAAGAACAACACTACGAGGAGGCTATGAACAGTGTGTTTTACAACCTGATGGTAGGATGCATCTATTACACCATGAAACCTATATTAGTACCAGTGGCGGATCCAGATCTTGAGATAAGGGGGGGCCTGGTCATCCAGACCCTTAGATAGGTGGGGGGAGGGGCCGTCTCGTTCAAGTAGAAAGTAGTAAACGCGCATACGTGTTGCTCAGTAGTAAACCAGTTTGACAGGTTAGGAACGTAGACTAATGTAAGTATGTGCGGTCTAGATAGATTGCCTATTTTTCAAGTATGATCGTTCAGGTTAATGGAGGTCTGATATGCTATGCATGCATGGGTACAAAATTGTACATAAAATGTAACGTTCATCGGCATCATACGGTTGAGTTCTTCCACGTTTTTCTTCCTTGGGTAAAGGTGGAATCTCTGCGTGCTCTCGTCCTAGTTCGAAATCCCGTGCGTGTTTTTCGTTAGTCCACATTTTTTTGGTCACCGCTGTTGTATTTTCCTACGAGCACATTTCCATTGTTTGAACCCTTCTTCTCCATCGATAGGTCTGTTCGTGCACACTGAATCTTTTCCCTAGTTTTTGTTACTGTCCGTCTTTGGTTTATAAAATATTATTCATTTCGAAAACTGGATAATCACATTCCTCAGACCCATAATCTTTCTTTGTTCAAACCAGTTACACTGAGTTATTTTTCTAACTAGGATGATGTTCTTTTGGAGAGTGGCATGGGACCAATGATGTGAAACAAAAGGAACCATTAGTAAATCAGTTGAGAATAAAACAGCGTACCAAATCAGTTATTCCACTGTTGTGAAGTCCACTGGATTCAACTCCTCACTAAGTTTGGCTCTGCCTTCCTTAAAGTGGCTGTAACGATCGCTTGATACAGTACAAGACCTAGTAGCAGTATTAGAGGACCTTAACTGTGCCACCTGGCATTAACATTGGCGATTTCTCTTTTTTAACGTCGGTCATTTATATTATTGTTAGTTACACTGTATAGTGTGGCGTTGGTTACGTACTACAATAGTAAAATGACTCCAGTTATAGTCAGTTGCTGGAACTGAGGATGCCGCAATAAACCGGTCTATAATTCTGTTGAAGGATGTAATTAATTTGGCTGTTAATGTACGGGAAACATGCTTGTGCGAAAAGGTCACAAAGCGCGGCGATGGAAAATCCGAGCAAAATCGCATCAGGGATCCAATGAAATTGTGCAAAAATAATGAAAATACTCCGGGGACGTTTTTGAAGCTGTTGAAAGCACTCACAGCACGTGGCTTTCACTGGCTCTTTAACCAGTGTTAAATTACTGCTGTTCGTGATACAAACAGAATTAGAAAAGTTTTTGTATTTGCTGTTATAAAACTTTTGTATTTATCAGTGTAAATATTATACAGTTTTCACAAAGACAATGTATTGAGGAACAAAGTAATATATTACGTTATAACCGTGGATATCTGTCTTTCTTTCAGTCTTTTAAAACTCTAGAGCAAACTTTAGAAACCCCAGTTCACACTAAGCTAACCAGCATTTTGTAAGTTAAATAGATGCAAAGATGATCATCGCAGTTAAAGACCAACTTATGCAGTTGCAGAAAGATATCCTGAAAAAAATCCAGGCTTGCCGGGACTCGAACCCTGACGTTCGTAATATACTCGGGAAAGATGATGATGAAATGTTGAATACATGAATTTCATAAATTTTTTTCTTTGGAACGAAGAAATGAATGCAAAGATCATCGCATCCTCGGAGACCCAGGGGCAGTTAGTCGGGACTATAGAATGTTCGTGGTGAAAGTTTACTGTCGTCTCGATCTTACGGTAAACTTTCACCACGAACATTCTATCGTCCCGACTAACTGCCCCTGGGTCTCCGAGGATAAGATCATCGTAGTTAGAGACAAACTTATAGTCAGGTGGCTAAAGGCTCAGATCTATACAGAGTGGACAAAGCACCAAACTCTGCATGGTTGTAGCTTAGGGCATGTTAGTCAATATTAGGATCGGTGCCCACAGCTACCTCTTCAGGATTTGCAGCAACAGCTCGCTGAAGTTCTTCAACAACCATCCATGATGGGTGCCCTGTGCTGAAAATTGCAATCACTTGTTTTTTGCCATTTTTTGATGAAAATCACATAAAAAGGGAAGTAGATGGAAAAAGAAACTGTATTAATACTATTATTATTGAAACCAATGACTAAAACAAGTCAACTTAATGATACAGCAATTATGATGTACCATGGTGGGTATCCTGTGCAAAAAAATATCAATTCGTTGATTTTTGCAATTTTTTTTGATGAAAATCACATGAAAGACAAGAAAATAAAGGAAGAAATTGTAATATTATTGAAACCAATGACAAAAACAAGTCAACTAAATGGAAAATCCAAGGAAGATGTTTTCAGACGCGTACTTAGTCGCAAATAGCCTTTCAAGATGGCGGCTTGAAGGTGTCTTTTCATGGACTGTAAGTATCTGCTAGAAGAAATTGCCGTTTTTTAGGGGAAATTGTGCACAATTTGAATCACGACAGGTTTAAGTGAAGTTTTCAGCTCTTCTTGGTGATAAATTTGTTATCGAAAGCCACATTTTCGCTTCATATTTTGTGCCGATTATGAATGACTATACTGAGTTTATTAACTTACTGGTTAGTTGAAGGTTTCTGAAGCTGAGATATTTTCTATACACCAGGGTGGATATTAACTGGGATCGTTGTTATATTTGCCAAGAATCAACAAAAGAAGATTTGAGAAGCCCACTGGTTTAACGGTACAAGCATTAATTTATAGAACGCTCCTTGAAAATATACTAAAAAGGCTGACGTGCGAAATAGGCATACATGTCAGAGGAACGCAAGAAGAAAAGTGGAGCAGCTTGGAAGGCGAGGAAGACGAGAAATTAAATAAATCAAGAGCATTTTTTGAACTCACTGAGTACATAGCGAATGCCGAACTTCATATTAAGCTGTATTCGTTACAAACAAAGGCACACACTTTGCAGTCCCACTATAGTGTCAGCCTTACAGGCTCGTTTGGTGCCACAATCTCCAACTTGCTGTTTCTGATATGCTTCAACACGCTTTTTTCTCTGTTCTAGTTTGCTTTTTCTAACTTGGACGTAAGGTGACAGGATTGATGCCACTTTGCACTTCAGTAACGTGTTTACTACTGTAGTGATTTCAATATGAAACATAATTGCAACAAGACGGCACAGTCCTCTTTCTTGAATTCTAGTAAATTGTCAAGGAGCGTTCTATAAATAATTGTTCCGTTAAATTAATGGGTTTCTCAGATCCTCTCTTTTCGATTCTCACCCTAGGTAAATATGAGAACGATCCCAACTGATTTCCATCTTAGTGTGTAGAAACGAGTTTAAACTCAATCATAAGACTGAAATCATGCTTATCTTGTCGATGTACCGTCCACCCTTTAGCGACGTCATTATGGGTAATGCAAGGCTAAGAACCACCACCAACAAAGCCTGGGAGTAGTATTTGATGACAACGTGCTGTTTGACCCACGTCTCAGCATTCTTTTGCAGATTATCGTTTCACCAACTCAGGAACTTATCAAAGATAAGATTGTGCCTCACACAGGAGTCTAGCGAAATTGCAGTGCATGCTTTTATTACATCTAAAACAGACTATTAATTGCAATTCCTTGCTCTATGGTTGTAAAAAAATGCAATTGAAGGAACTTTTAATAATATGTTCAGAACACTGCCCCCAGGATCGTTACTGGGACTCGTAAACTTTGCGAACACATCATTTATTTGACCTTCACTGGCTTCCTGTTAGTTATCATGTTGTTTTTAAACTTATTTTGTCAGTTTTCAAATCACTTAATAACCTTCCACCTAGCTATCTAGCGGACAGTTATTGAAGGCCTTCCAGGAACTTGTGGTCCGCATCTCAGCAGCTCTTAGAACAACCTCGAAAAATCGCGGGGAAAATACTTTTTCAGTGTGCCCCCCTAAACTGTGGAACTCACTACCTTTAGCTAGATTTTCACAAGTCACCATCTTTAGCCAGTTGAAAGAAAGGACTGAGAACATATCTGGGTAAGTCAATACTTTTATAAGAGTAAGTCAATACTTTTGTAAAACGTCTTTAATATCTGCAGATCATATACCTATACTAATGGAATGTATATTTAGTTTTTTTGTATGACTTATTATCATTATATATAAACTTTAAAGGCAAAATAATTTTAAAACAGATGAATTCTTGTTTCCTTCTCTTGTTCTTTGTGAATTGCTAATAGATTTTAATATATGTTATTTCATGCTCGAGATATAATTTTTTTTGCTCTTTAACATTGTAAAGCACCATGTGCTCAGGATATGAGCGCTATAGAAAGAAGCTATTTTTACTATTATTAACTTTAACCAGTACGAAAGTAAACTCAGTATACAGTCAACTCTCTCCAAGACGGACACCTTTGGGACCGGCGCTAAGTGTCCGTCTTAGAGAGATGTCCGTCTTATGAAGAGTCAAATAAAGGGAATAAGAAAAGGCAGGGACCAACTCAAGGTGTCCGTTTTACAGAGGTCTCCGTCTTATAGAGGTGACCGTTAAGAGAGAGTCGACTGTAGTCATTCATAATCGGCACAAAATGTGAAGAGAAAATGTGGCTTTCGATGACAAATTTATCACCAAGAAGAACTTAAAATTCACTTTAACCTGTCGTGATTCAAATTGTACACAATTTCCCCTTAAAAACGGCAATTTATTCTAGTAGATGCTTACAGTCCATGAAAAGACACAGCCGCCACCTTGAAAGGCTATTTGGGACTGAGTACGCGTCTGAAAACATCTTCCTTGGATTTTCCATTTAGTTGGCATGTTTTTTTCATTGGTTTCAATAAAAATACAATTTCTTTTTTATTTTCATGTCCTTCATGTGATTTTCATCAAAATAATAGCAAAAAAAGGAATTGATATTTTTTAGCACAGGGCACCCACCATGGTACATCATAATTGCTATATCATTAAGTTGACTTGTTTTAGTCATTGGTTTCAATAATAATAGTATTAATACAGTTTCTTTTTCCATCTACTTCCCTTTTTATGTGATTTTCATCAAAAAATGGCAAAAAAAAGGTATTGCAATTTTCAACACAGGGCACCCATCATGGAAGGTTGTTGAAGAACTTCAGCGAGCTGTTGCTGCAAATCCTGAAGAGGCAGCTGTGGGCACCGATCCTAATATTGACTAACATACCCTAAGCTACAACCATGCAAAGTCTGGTGCTTTTGTCCGCTCTGTATAGATCTCGCCAAAATTTTGCACTAAGCCACCGGACTATTATGCAGTTGCGAAAAGAAGCGTGAAAAAAGTCAGGCTTGTTTGCTTGCTTAAATAAATCCACCGTTATAATAAGAAACTCGTAAAGCAATATAATCAGACAATTCAATTGCAAGCCACACGTATAAAATACAAACCAATCCCACTAAAACACGACTAAACTCAATCCTATCGACAGAGATTCAAAGTAGTTCCTACCGATCCAACCTGTTTCAGCCCAACAAAACCACTTTATAACCTTGACACAATCGTCTGTATCGAGTTTAACAAACATAAAATATGTAATTGTATTGGATCAAATTGAGTAGGGTAAAACTAGTAAACAGTATTAAAAAAGATTGCATTGGGTATTCGAGTGAATCACTCCAAAGCCTGTATCCAAACACTGCTATGCTTGGGCTACCTGTGGCTTAAAAAGGTACGGCACAAGGTTCTTTCTAAAGGCTCTGTGTTACTGGTATACTGTCCGCCAAAAAAGAAGTATACTTTAGTCACTAAAAACGCAAAAATAATTCCTCGAAGACACCCATGTAACAGAGATTTTTTCGCTCCACGATCCCTTCGAGACTCCGCTTTCACGTCCAATTACTAGTCCCAGTCTTTTTCAAAAAAATCAATATGGCGTCCTTGAAATTCACTGTGAGTTCAGTTGTGTGTTGTCCTGGTGCACCCCGTTATTGTCGGTCATTTTGCACGATGTACGGTTAAATAGAATGAAGTTGACTACAGAAATATTGAAGAGGAACTTTTGAAACATGGATGGAAAGAAAAAGAGAAAAAGGAGACACGAGGATAATGCGAGTGAGTCGAGCTCAAGCGACGGAGGACAAGAAGCGAAGTCGCGAAAAACCGAGAGAAGAGACGAATCGCAACAAAATGCGAAAAAGAGGAGGAAAAAGAAAAAAAGAGATGATAAAAAGCATAGGTCTAGCAGCAGCACTTTTTCTAGTGACAGCGGTAGCGAGCATTCTCCTAGCAAAGATGTCGGGACAAGTAAAAAGAAGAGAAAACATTCTCATAAAGAGAAACTGAAAAGAAGGAAAGAAAAGCGGAGAAGAAAACGGGAGAGGAAGGAAAAGAAAAGTAAACGACGCAAGGAGAAAGAGTTAAAAGAGACGCGTGCTGAGAATAAGGAAAAAGAGATCTCGAAGAACTCTCCACCTCAAGGTCTGAAATATTTGCTAATAAGCAAAATATGTATGACTATGTACTAGTAAAATATAACCTGCCACTTAATTTGGCCGCTATTCCATTTTGCTCCCCAGCAAAAAAATCCCATTGGGGAGCTTATTAAAGGAGCTATGGTAGTTTAAGTTCTCCATGACCAGACCACACCATGCTCTTGTATGAAACTGTGTGTTAAGATTGTAAAAAAATCTCAGTAAAATCGGCCTTAGCTTGTAGAGCATTTTAAATTTTTGCACACAGATGCTGTCAGAGTTATTTTGATAATACAGAAATAGTATCTATAGAGCAAGCAAGTCTCATCCCACCTCTTTCCTAGGCGTTTTTAATTGATAAATCGATAACAATCATTAGTAAATTATCAAGATTGATATCGATTTCCCATATCGTTTGATAGAAAATGATATTGAAAAAACATTGTGACTTCGATTAATATCGATTTCTGGTAGAAATCAATAATGATAGATTTCTCAATAGTATTATCGATTACTATTGAATATTATTGGAAAAGACTTAAATTCAACATAAGATGGCAAGGATCTGGAAGACTTAAAAGCCCTTTTACATGTACCACTTTGAATTAGATTTCCAATTAACCTACTTGTAGCCGCATCCTCCACTGACGAAGGAAAAACAGGAAGAGGGATCCTCCTCTCTCCACTTTTCCTTTGTCAGGGGGAGGGTGTGGCTACACATAGGCTAATTTCCAATCTGAGCATGATTGCAAAAAACAAATACAAGATGCCTCTTATGGTGCTTGATTGGATGGACATGTAAAAATTTATTAACACCAAAGAAACAAAAAAATGGAACACAATGAAGACTATGCCTGGAGTAGTTGCTGATTCAGAAATAAAAATAATGTGTTAAGCTAAAGTCGGTCTTGTCGGTGTTGTTTGCCAAATAGCATCGTCATGTTCAAAATATCAGCACCATATGCTCCTCAAGATTATTGCTTGTTATCGATTACTTCTGATTACTGTTGATTGTTTAAAATCAATTTTTTAATCAATACTAATCGATAAATAATTTTTCTGTGACTACGATGGCTATCGGTTGATATCAATATTATATTGATTGATTTCCAACATCGATTTTTATTGATTAGCTATGCCTGGCTCTTTCTGATATTTCTGGATTCACCTTGCTGCAGATTACTGAATGTAAACATACAAGCGGCAAATGGATCTAATTCCATTCATGGCAAGCATTCCTGAAAGAAGATTTATTCTTTCAGAGGTCAAAAGAGATGGGCAACTCAGACATTTTAGTGAATCTTCATTGTATGTGGATAATCTTACACAAGAGATGCAAACAGCCATTTAATGTTTTGGGTCTTATTTCAGATGCCGATAAATTGAAGAAAAAACCCACTTCACCTGATTCTGGAAGTGACACTGCACCCAAAAAGAGGTAGCTATAGAAAAAACCTTGTAACTTTCAGTAAACAAAATTACTCCTACATAGGGAGTGATTCATTACTAGAAACCGGGTTTGTTGCATCTAAAAATAACTTTAGTGTCAACGGTTCTAGCAGAAACGTGCTTATTACGGTGACCATCATCAATTTCCACATGGTCCTCCAAGCCACACAAAGGTCATCTGTGCAGGGCAAAGGCAGTAATACCTACTGACCCAGTTAGTTTAAAAAGCAATTGCCTTACTACCCCTTTCACATTATATAACTACTGTAGTTGCATCCCCTTTAACTGCTGTAAATGCACTGTCTTTTGAAATGAATAAATCACAAAACCAGGAAATTTTCTGGACCTTTTTACAGCTATTAGACCTTTTAGGTCTTCTTACAGATGGAAAAGACAAATTTCCCTGCCTTTTTATATACTACAACTAGTGAAATTCCTACCCGTTCATATACCTGAGGCCCTTTTGGGTGGAGCCTTCCCATATAGGCTGTTATGGGGAGTACCCCCCCCCCCCGGGCCTTAGCAGCGCAACCATGTAATACTAGTGAACACAACATTACTAGATTCAGATCTTTAAGACCCTAGGATAAGAAGGGGGCATAGCCTTGGAAGTAATAATTTTTTTTTTCTTGGCCCTGTGGCTTCAGTGTGGCCTGTGCTTTCAAAATGGCCAGTCCCACTGGCAAGTTCTGACTTTTCGGAAGCACCCTGGAAGTGTCAAGCTTTTATGTGGTTGATTATTACGTTAAACTAACAAATTTAATTTGTGGATTAAAGATCTATGGTTCCCATGACAAAGGAAGAATATGAGAAACAGCAAGCCCAGATTAGGAGAGTGTATGACCCAGAGACTGGCCGACACAGGTAAAAATGTTAGAAATATGTTTTAAAAAAGGGCTTTTTAAATAATTGACCAATGTGCAAGTGGCTCAATTACTCCTTGTGGAAAAAAGCCCAACAACAGTTCTTCAGAGGACACTATACTCACAGGCAATGCATTACTGATGCTTTGGATAGAGTTCATATTATTTTTCACATTAGTACATGTGTGCACAAATAATCATTTAAAATAATATTTTTCAACAGGCTTGTCAAAGGCACTGGTGAGATTTTGGAAGAGATTGTAAGTAGGGACAGACATAAAGCCATTAACAAGGTTAGTTTAAAAAGCAAATTGTATTTCCACACATGCAGATTATAATACATTTGATAACTTTCGAGATTTACTTGGGTGTATTCGCATCAGGGGATGTGTGGCACCTTTCAGTGGGGAGTTAAGTTATAATCATTTTATAATCCTGAAGTGATTGAGGACTTTCTGAGTATCATAAAGTAAATGGTAGGGTTTTGGTTTGTTATCTAGGCATAATAATGTACTCTTTTTTTTTTCTATAAGAATAGATTTTATAAGAATATCAAGGCTGAAATTTGCGAAATTTTAGGAATATTTTAAGAATAAACCCCAGGCTGAGATTTTGAAAAGGATATAATTTTTTGTGTTCAAAAACTTAAACACAATACAATTATACATGCATGTTTTCAACTTATTCCATTCTTTGAACAGCAAAACTTGCCAACAAAACGAAAAAACCTGCACTTGTTATAATTGATAGCCCCATGTATTCTAAAACTGAAATGTCATAAGCTATAATTTAAGAATAATACCAGAATATTTTCCGCCTAAAATCGGCAGAGAAATAAGAATATTCAGCCTGGGCCGGAGAAACAACATTCTTATTAAAAAAAGGATGTTGTTTTTCTGTGATTTTCCTCCTAAATGTTATCACAGAGATTCAGCTCACAACTTTGCTTAAGGAAAATGAAAGTGTCTACAGTAAATGTGCACCCTTTTTTATAACTGTAGATGCAGTTTCATTTGATCCAAGACATTTTTAGAGTTCAATTATATTCAAAAACGAAGACGTTGCTCTTTCTGTTATTTCAGTCTGCTACTCAAGGAGATGGGGCATTTTTCCAAGCAAATCTTGGTCTGAGGGATAGATAATTCATGGAAATATGGCTAGGATGACCATCTTTTGAACAGTTGATGTTAGAAAACGTTTGTACTTGCGGCTGTAAAACTGACGGAGCCTAGTTGGCTTTAACCAGGTTAGAATTACATGGGTGTGAGTCAAGTTTTAATAGGGGACCGGCAAGTACAGCGGTATCTTCAATATGGTAACAGGTCGTTTCGCCCGAAAGTCGAGTGGCCCGAAGTTGTTTCGCCCGTGGTTACGTCGTTTCGCCCGATGTTAGTTCGTCGTTCTTAAAGCCTTAAAAAAGGAATAAGCGTGAAAAGACATTGACCGCGTACATGTGGATCATCAACCTTTTTTTTTTCAGTGAAAACTTAAAAAATATATTAAAGATCGACGTTGCGATCACTGAGGTACATGCAACCCCGTTCCCAGGTTCTCTCTCTGTCTCTCTCTCTGTCTCTCTCTCTCTCTCTCTCTCTCTTTAGATTGTCGACTGCGTATTTTCTACTTGTTCTCGCTCTTCTATTTTCAAACGGTAAATTCCAAAAAACTTTGAATTAAAAACATGGAGAGTAAAGTTTATGAATCATTTTCTAACTTTTTCAATTTTCCTGACACAGCCCTAAAACTTGGCGTGTACTATTTTCAATCAAACCTCGCCAACGTAGCAATTACTTAATTTAGGTACAAGATACGAAATTTTTTTAAAAATTCGAAAAAACCAGCGGTTCAAAAGGTCCTCGAAAAAAGGAAAATTGCTACTAAAGACCGCTGGAATTAGTAATATTTTCATTTTTACCAGACCATTAATTTACGAATCTTTCCTGTTGTAAGCTACATCTTCAACAAGACTTGAAACATGAAGATTTTTTGAAAGTGCCCCCAATAGTTTTTAGTTAAAAATTCTCCTTGGGGGTGATTTTCCAAGCGCTGTTCTTTGCAACTCGCTTCGCATAATGGTTTACGTACATTTCACCTGTCAAGAGCTGTTTTTTTTTATATTTTAAGCATTTAATGGCTAAACTTTACTTCGCAGCAAATACCCATTTGGGTCGCAAATACCCATTTTCCCTTTTTTGAGGAAAACGTACTTTTCATTGTGAAAAACATATTTCAGACAAAACATCGATCACCAACTATATTCCCCATACCTGTATTTTCCTTTTGTTTATCTCATACGTTTATTACACTTGTTGTCATTGACATTTTAATTCTTTACTATTCATTTTTATTTTACTGCGCAATTTTTATGAGCATGGATTAGTGGTACTGAGACAGTGGGGGTTACGTTTTCGCAATATTCACCTGCGTGCAAAAAAGGAACCTGCGGATAGCCGTGCAAACTTTTATTCTTGAGCAAATGGCGCTTTTTTCTGCCAGCATGCGTCATTCTGAAGCGAACTCATTTCAGCTGCATTTTGCAGTGCCAGCACTAAACAGGCTGTCAGATAGAAATAATTTTCACTTTTTACTATACAATTTTCTCCATGACTAAAATCACAAGAGTTTTACATTTTATTTGTTAATATAAAACATGGTTTTCGGTCGTCTGACAAGTCCGACCAAAACTGCCCAAGCCTTGTGTTTCTTTAATGACGCGCTCACAAATGATAACACATGACAGCAGAAGGAATGAACACTGTGCTGTAGAAAGAAAAGCTAACACATTATCCAAACTTTTAGAAAACTCGTTAAAAACTACTTATTATCATTGTTTCTGTTGTACACATTCTTCGCACGGGAATGGACGGAGGCAGAGGCTACTTTATACACGCGTGTACATATCGCTAAAGAGTAACCTTGCCGACAGCACGCGTTGTCTCGCAGTCAGCAACTTGAGAGAGAGGCAAAGAATGCAAAAGCTTTTTGACATCTTCAGGGATAACATGGGCGCCGTGTAAAAAAAAATTGATGACTGTGAATTAAATACAAGAGAACTTCTTTCGATACTTAATTGATAGTTAATAATTATACGAATAATTAAATTGATAAGACTAACGAAATGTTCACTAGTTTTTCTCCGGTTCATTGTTATACTTACTGTCACTTTTATTTCACGTAAACGGAACTAACATAAGTCTTAACGACGTGACCCGACGTATAAACCCTACTTTCACTATGTATGAATATCTACAGCTATGTACGGCCATGAACAGCTATGTGCGGGCGTCCAGGGCTACCTAGGGCTACGTACGGCTCTGTATGGCTATGCGGCGCTATGTACGGCTATGTACGGTTATGCGCGGCTATGCACGGTTTTGTTTGGCTACGTAGGGCTATGCACGGCTTTCCACGGCTATGCACGGTTATGTACGGCTATGTACGGCTATCCACGGCTATGTACGGCTATGCACGGCTTTGTACGGCCATGTACGGCCCTGTATGGGTAAGTACGGAAATGTAGGGCTATCTACAGTTATGTACGGCTATGCACGGCTGTGTAAGGCTATGCACGGCCATGCGCGGCTATATACGGCTATACGCGGCTATGTACGTCTATGTGAGGCTATGCACGGCAATTTACGGTAATGCGCGGTTATGTACTGCTATGTACCGCTATGCGAGGCTATGCACCGCTGTGTAAGGCCATGCGTGGCTATGCACAGCCATGCACGGCTATGTACGGCTATCCACAGCTATGTATGGCTGTGCGCGGCTATGTACGGCTATGGATGGCTATACGCGGCTATGTACTTCTATGTGCGGCTATACACGGCTATGTACGGCAATGCGTGGTTATGTACGGCTATGTACTGCTATGCGAGGCTATGCACGGCTGTGTAAGGCCATGCGCGGCTATGCACGGCTGTCCACAGCTATGTATGGCTGTGCGCGGCTATGTACGGCTATGGATGGCTATACGCGGCTATGTACTTCTATGTGCGGTTATGCACGGCTATGTACGGCAATGCGCGGTTATGTACGGCTATGTACTGCTATGCGAGGCTATGCACGGCTGTCTAAGGCCATGCGTGGCTATGCACGGCTATGCGCGGCTATGCACGGCTATCCACAGCTACGTATGGCTGTGCGCGGCAATGTACGGATATGCGCGGTTATCCACAGCTACATATGGCTGTGCGCGGCTATGTACGGATATGTGCGGCCATCCACAGCTACATATGGCTGTGCGTGGCTATGTACGGCTATGGACGGCTATGTGCGGCTATGCACGGCTATGAACGGCTATGCGCAGCTATGTACGGCAATGCGCGGCTATGTACGGCCATCCATGGCTATGCACGGCATGGTACGGCTGTGTAAGGCTATGTAGATTTTATGTACGGCTGTTTACGGCTATGCATGGTTTTGTTCGGCTATGTTAGGCTATGCACAGCTTTGCACGGCTATTCACGGTTATGTACGGCTATGTACGGCCATGCATGGCTCTCCAGGGCACGGTACGGTTGTTTAAGGCTATGTAGGGCCATGTAGAGCTTACGTACGGCCAAGCGTGGCTATGAACGGCTATGTACTGCGAGGTGCGCTCTACACGGCTATGCACGGTTATGTAGGGCTATGTAGGGCTTATGTACGGCTATGCATGGCTATATACGGCCATGCATGGCTATGCAAGGCTATGTGCGGCCATACATGGCTATGCAGGGCATGGTACGGCCTTGTAAGGATATGTGGAGCTTATGNCTAAGGCCATGCGTGGCTATGCACGGCTATGCGCGGCTATGCACGGCTATCCACAGCTACGTATGGCTGTGCGCGGCAATGTACGGATATGCGCGGTTATCCACAGCTACATATGGCTGTGCGCGGCTATGTACGGATATGTGCGGCCATCCACAGCTACATATGGCTGTGCGTGGCTATGTACGGCTATGGACGGCTATGTGCGGCTATGCACGGCTATGAACGGCTATGCGCAGCTATGTACGGCAATGCGCGGCTATGTACGGCCATCCATGGCTATGCACGGCATGGTACGGCTGTGTAAGGCTATGTAGATTTTATGTACGGCTGTTTACGGCTATGCATGGTTTTGTTCGGCTATGTTAGGCTATGCACAGCTTTGCACGGCTATTCACGGTTATGTACGGCTATGTACGGCCATGCATGGCTCTCCAGGGCACGGTACGGTTGTTTAAGGCTATGTAGGGCCATGTAGAGCTTACGTACGGCCAAGCGTGGCTATGAACGGCTATGTACTGCGAGGTGCGCTCTACACGGCTATGCACGGTTATGTAGGGCTATGTAGGGCTTATGTACGGCTATGCATGGCTATATACGGCCATGCATGGCTATGCAAGGCTATGTGCGGCCATACATGGCTATGCAGGGCATGGTACGGCCTTGTAAGGATATGTGGAGCTTATGCAGGGCCATGCACGGCTATGCATGACCATGCACGGCTATGTACGGCTATGCACCAGGGCCACCCAACGAGAATATAGTTCAAAAACACTTAAGCATAGCATTGTTAAACGTATTTTAGTATTTAAACGGTAGATATAGGCATATTTTTATCCCCCCAAAATTTTTCATCTCTTCCGATTTCTTAGCTGAAAGTCTATTGATCCGAAAATCTTCGGGATTAAAACGTACCTTTTTGAAACTTTCAGCCCAAAAAAGGCTCCCGAAAATTCTAGGTGACCTTTTTAGAGTAAAAATCCGTTAAAAATTGGCAATTATACCATTTTTTAGATGTTCGAAAATCCTAGGAGAGGCAGGAAAGCAAGAAATTTTACAACAAAGGTTCCGAAAATTCTAGATCTCAAATCGTTTTCCGAACAGATATTTTCCGAACATTGACGTTGGGTGCCCCTGATGCACGGCTATGCAGGGTTATGTAGGGCTTATGGACAGCACGTACGGCTATGTACGGCCATACATGGCCGTGCACGCTATGGAACGACTGTATAAGGCTAGGTAGAGCTTATGTACGGTTATGTACGGCTATGTAGGGCTATGCATAGCTATGAACGGCATGGTACGGCTATGCAGGGCTTATGTACGATGAAAGGCTATTTAGGGCTTATGTACGACTATGCACTGCTATGTAAAGCCATGCATGGCACGGCATGGTACGGCTGTGTAACGCGATGTAGAGCTTATGTACGGCCATGCACGGTTATTCACGGCTATGCACGGTTTTGTTCGGCTATATGTAGGGCTATGCACGGCTTTGCACGGCTATGCGCGGTTATGTACGGTTATGTACGGCTTTGTACGGCCATGCATGGCTGTACACGGCATGGTACGGTTATTTAAGGCTATGCAAGGCTATGTAGAGCTTATGTACGGCTAAGCGTCGATACGAACGGCTGTGTACGGCGATGTACTGCTCTGTACGGCTATGCACGGTTATGTACGGCTATGTAGGGCTATGCAGGGTTTACGTACGGGTATGCCTGGCTATATACGGCCATACATGGCTATGCAGGGCATGGTACGGCCTTGTAAGGCTATATGGAGCTTATGTAAGGCTATATGCACGGCTATGTACGGCTATGTAGCGTTATTCACTGCTATGTACGGCGGCTATGCAGGGCTATGTGCGGCTATGTAAGGCTATGTAGAGCTTATGTACAGCTACGTACGGCTATGTACGGCTATGTACGTCCATGTATAGCTATGCACGGCATGGTACGGTTGTTTAAGGCTATTTAGAGCTTATGTACGACTAAGCGTGGCTATAAACGGCTGTGTAGGGCGATGTACCGCTCTGCACGGCTATGCACGGTTATGTACGGCTATGAAGGGCTACGTAGGGCTATGTACGGCAATGTAGGGCTTAGGTACGCCTATGCGCGGCTATATATTGCTATGTAGGGCTACGCAGGTTTATTTAGGGCTATTTAAGGCTATTTGAGGCCGAAGGCCGAATTGGCTATTGACTCAGAGGCCACGAGGGGGAGAGGAATAATTGTTTTAGTAAAATCCAACTAGTTGGTCAAAAATATTGAGACGAAACAACTTTAGCTAGCTAAAGCTACACTTAAATTATTTTTGCCCACCAAATTGCCGGCACTTTTCGTTACTAGTGGGCTATAACATATAGCCTAGTAGTAGCTCAACCAATCAGAACGCAGCATTGATAATAGACCACTAGTTGGATTTTCCTAAGTACGGATATTAGGCGATATAGGGCAATGTACATGTAGGGCTATGTACGGCCATTATTGCTATGTAGAGCTAAGAAGGGGTATATTGGGCTATGAAGTGTTATATACGGCTATGTAGGGCTGTGTAGTGCTATGTAGAGGTATATAGGGCTATGAAGTTCTATGTAGTGTAGAGCTGGGAACAGTTACATTCCATATTAAATAATGTGAAATCACTTATATGACGGGTACAGCACGCACCAACCGCGGGGTGTGGTGGTTCTTCGGGTCAGATATTCAGTTGTTTATTATTAGACTAATCGTGTTTGCTATCTGTTGGTATAGACTTTTTTTAGATTTGGTGGCTTCTAAAGAAGCCATTGTTTTCCGTTTTAAGTATAACTTAGTTTTAAAAAAGTTTATTTATTTCTCTTTAAGTTCTGCTCTAACTATATATTATTTTGAACGGGTTGCCTCTTTAAAACAGCTTTCATAAATAATTTCATCAAGCGTTGTTTCCATACAAATCAGAAATCTCCAAGCTGAACCATGTTTTGGCCCTACTTGGCCTTTAATTATCTATGTACTTTTAAAATTGTTTGCAGCCGTAGCTATTAATATGAAGTCGTGTAGCAGTACCAAAGTTATTATTATTATTGCTTATTGTTGGCAGCACATACATGTATCCACTTGTAAGTTTGATAATGGGCTACGGAATCGAATATCCTTAATTACGGTAACAAATGCCCCTTGTTAAGCGCTACGAATATTTGTTACGGTAGCAAATACTCATTATGGGTAGCAAATACCCACTTTACAATTTAATGAGTATTTGCTACGGTAGCAAATACCCATTATGGGTAGCAAATACCCAGTCGAGATTTCAGTGAGTATTTGCTACGGTAGCAAATACCCACTCGAAATTTTAATGGGTATTTGCTACGGTAGTAAATACCCATAAATGGAAAAATGGGTATTTGCTACTGTAGCAAATACCCATCGATCGTAGCAAATACGCACATGAATCTGCCTCTCTCTCTCTCTCTCTCTCTCTCTCTCTCTCTCTCTCTCTCTGTCTCTCTCTCTCCGTAGGGACAGGTAGGAGAGAACCCTGGGAACGACGTTGAGGTACATGTAGACTTCAGATTTAAGTTCAGTCTTTCAGTATTTCGAATGTGATTATCGAGATCGTTAAGACCGTTCAGATCGCTGGACCTTTTTTAGCAATCGCAGCAATAGTATCGAAGCTTAAACAAAAATCACCCCTGATAACCCGTGTTGTAGATCCGGGCGAAACACTGTTTGAACTTCGGGCGAAATGACCACAATTCTTTCAATGAATTATACACTCTTAAGAGTAATTTTTTAACTTGTGTAGGCTGCATTTATACTCCGGCATAGTGTCAACGTAGAGTTATTCAGTCCTGTATTGGAGCTTTTACGGTCATATCTGAGAGGCGAAATACAAAACGGTGTTATTTTTCTGAATTAATTTCACTGAGTTGGCGAGTGTGATTCATAGGAGTGCAAAAGGACAATTTAGGAGAGTTGCGTATGACTAAAATGTTGAAGCATTTAAAAAACACAAATTATTGTTAACCAGAACTTTATTGGAACCTAATTTCACTCTTTGCGTAGTTACTTCCCTATAAGACAAACACTTTTGGGAGCAGCTCGTAGTACTCATCTTTGACAGCCTTCTGTCAGAGTTAAACAATATCAGTAGCCTCACTGGGATTGTATAAAAGTAAGAACTGAAGGGATGCTGGGTGTGTCTGTCCGTCGAACAAGAGGTCACAATACACTATGTTTTTGACAGTACAACACTTATCATATAATGACAAATATAACGGTTTTTTTCTTTACAGTCAAAGCCCGTTAAAACGGACAGTGAAGGAGCCATCGAAAGTGTCCGTATAGGGTCATTTTATTAAATACAGTAATAGCCCGCGTATAAGAACCTGAATTTTTCAATTTAGCCTAAATAGGTTCTTATATAAATGGCACTTAAAGCAAATTTAGGCTACCGAGGTTCTTAAAATAGGTTCTTATATTTTCATATGAATTTCACCTGAATATACTTTATATATTATAAATATCATCTCATAATACAGTATAAATCATTTATTTGTACCATAGAGCAATGCCTATAGGCAGTTCAGTGCAGGTACAGCATATGTCCTTAACAAAACATAACAAAGAAACTCATGTTGATACCAAATTCATAACAAGCTCAAGCAATGAGGAGAAATGAAAAACAAAATAGATGATGATCTTAATTCAGCAGTTTCTACCTATACACTTTTACAGCAACCCCACTGATAAAAACCTAACTTAAAATTTTAGCCTAAATAGGTTCTTATGTGGAGGGGGCTTAAAATGAAAATTTTAGCCTAACAGGTTCTTAAAACCCAGGTTCTTATTCGCGGGCTATTACTGTACTCCGAAATTGACGTCTACAAATAATCCTTTTCCGGTGTACTGTAGCAGGCGCGGATCTAGAATAAATACTGACTGATTTCCAAAAACGAGAAGGTAAAAGCTTCCTAGGGGGATCTGTAAGTATACCCCACCGGGAAATCTTTGAATTTTAACTCCCAAAAGTCCCCTGTTCTTGGTTTCTGAGTCATTCATACGTGATATTGGCCAGTTCATTATCCCTGGATAAAGTCTTGCAAATCGGCGGATTCTTTCATCAAGGTTAATTTCCATGTTGTATCAGATAACGTGCAAAATTTCAACTTGGAAAGTTTTTTATTATAAAAAAGATATCTGTTATGAAAAATCTGACCGATTTCCGTAAAACCGTGG